AACTTTGTTCTAACCTCCTCACTACACTTACTTTTACAATTCACCGTGAATAACTTCGAAAGGAACTCGAAATAACAACGAAGAATGCACGCCACGCAAACAAACTATAATAGTAATCGTCGAAATTAACTTGTATTTTGATGAATTTTTTAATATAGGCAAAACAAGCGACCATACGAGTATATAAACATTAGCCTATTTCAGGTACTTTCCAATAGAATTTCTTTAATTAATGTATGAAAATTTGTAGACTATAATTGTTGTCATTTCTATAATCCTTCAGGATAATTTTTTCACCGGGCATATTCTTCTACCATGTGTTTTATCATCAGTATTTGACTACATCTAATATTTTATTTTTTGCAAAATTTTGATATTTTAGTATTGGCGAAACGTAGGAAGGATGAGGCATAAAAACAAAAATTGATATAATAATTTTCCGTAATATCGATCGATTTTCAACATTTAAAATATACATATCATTCTACAAAATGTAAAATCTAAATAGATAATTATATGTGATAGTTTATTTGTAAAACGTATATTAAATATTAAATATGTAACTCTCTGTCATCATTCATATCTTTTAATCTGTAATGTTAAATAAATCTAAAACGTTAACTGTTATCTAGTAAAATGGGGTATTTTGATACACCAACGACTGCATTTATTGAATAATTAGTATTGTGCTCTATTATTTTGAATAACGAATTATATAAGGAAATTATTGATACACGATGCCATTTAAAGGTTGAAAAAGTAACAAAATATGAAAATATTTTCTATGAACACAAAATACAGAGAATTTAATATCAACGAGATGTGACAGTTTTTAAAATAGTAAGAAGTTGGAAAAGAATGTTGAAAGTTTTGCATTCGTAAGTAGCAGCAAAGAGAAAGAGAACAGTATTGATCAATAAATTAATGAGAACATAATGGAGAAAAGTAGAGGAGATAAAATTATAGTAAATATCAAGAATAAAAATTGACAACTTCTGAATAACAAAAGGAGAAAGAAAAAAAAAGTTCAAGGTTTACTCAAATTCCGAGTAGCAACAAATTAATGAAAAAAATTCCTACATATCGTGGTCGTAGACGAAGAAACATGAAAAAGAGAAATACATTTGTTTCTTCAAAGCATAGGAATATCGGTGGTCACGAGTACTATTTTGTTCTCGAAAAAGAAAGTAACATCCCTCGTTGACATCTTGGCGGTACAAGCTATGGAAGTGCCTGTACAGGTTTTTGAGACGGTGAAGCGAGCGGAGATAAGGGTGGAAAAACGTCGAGTCGTGTGATCGTCCAGAAAGCAGCTGGAGTGGGGATCACGAGGGGTTAGAACCTGCGCCTAAGTTTACCCCTTCCCGGCGCATGCTCCTGCAACACGTTTCCCACCCTGTCGCCGAGGTTTGACTCCCGATATGATCGAAAAAAGGAGTCAGAAGCTAAACTGCCACCCCCGCCACCCCCGTGAACTCGTTTTCAGCCCGTAGTATTTTCTGCGCACTAAAACTACGACCATTTGAATTCATTGAATCGCTCGGCTATCGGACAGAAACGTATCGTAAATATAATTGCATCGCGGAAAGTCCGGATTAATCGAAACGAATTCGAAATTGTACAAAATAAGTTTCCTCCAGGCGCAACGAACGTTAAGAATAGCTGGTAATTTTTCTACAAATCAATTATATATTTTAAAAACAGAAATCTATAAAACGTTGGCAATTTCTGATGTAATAATATTACGATACGAATTATGCTTTTTTATAAAATGGAAATACCTTGAAATTCTTCCAAAACTGTTGAACGAACATAATGGAATCTATACTGAGATACGAACAACCAATTCCTACCTCGTAACTTTGTTTATTTGTACTTATTTGTTATAGCAATAAATAATTTTTATAAGAAAAAATGAAAAGGAATTCATGAAATGAGCTAATTTTGTTTACTGTTCTGTAACTTGAATATTATTGTCGTGGATATAGAATTTGTTATTACTGTTGTATTTCATGTATATCGCAACGTATTTTCATAAATTTTAAGTTTATACTAAAATACAATATACTTTTATTATTAATTTCATCGAAACTATTATCACTATTATATTTAATATTAGTATATCTAATTATAAAATTGTTGCAAACAAAGTTTTTTTAGGAGAATAGTTCTCGAAAGGTTATGTCAAAAATAATACTTTAAGTAAAATAGACTCCCATCAATTTTGCTTGAAAAGACATTTAACGAAGATGGAAAGCATATTTAGAAAAGTCTATTTTCAAGAAAGAATTTTTCGAGCAGAAGCGACAAGCATAACAAAAAATTGCTACATACTAATTTTCCTCCAATAAAAATCCGTTATGATAAGCTCCACGAAAAAACAGGTTTTCCTTCAAAATACAGATCGACTGAAAATTTCTAGGTAAATAAATGTTTCTGCACGAACTTTTCTCCAAAGGATGATTATCTCAAGCGAGAAATTTTTTCAGAAAATTTTCTTTCCGCAAGAAAATACTCCAACGGAGAGCTTCGGTGTAGAAAATCGCTATCGTACGAACTTTATACCAAAGAATAATCGAAAGAAGTTCTTCGAAAGTGGAAAATAATATAAAAAAACTTTTTTCTTCATTCATAATCGAGAAATCAACACAACCCTTCTCAAGTCCCTTGCAACTTTTCCTATTTTCATCCGTTACAAAATTTCGGAAAATTTGTTTCGGAGTTGAAAGAACAGAGATACAAATGATCGGAAGAAAATTTGCTTGTTCCTTTTGGTAATATCAAGAAATAATAATAAGTTAAATGAAATTACTCAATTTATTTAATTTTTTAATATTCTAACCATAAACTTTCCACTCTACTCTGATGTTCGGAAAGAAAATTCTTAATTTTCCAAATACATACATGTTCATATATTCATATACCTTAAAACTCGACTCATCCTGCGGGTTTTTAATAAAAGAAACATTTATACCATAAAAGAATAAATCATAAAACATGAATCATAATCCACAATTTAGAATAAACATTGAGTAAAAGTCATTGAAAATATGTTAATCAATGAAGATATTATTTCGAAATGCCAAGAATTCCACTAAATAACATTCGAAAAAGATGTGCTATAAATATCATTTAGATACCATCATTGTTAAAAATGAAGAAGCGGATGAAATGACGAAAGAAATAGCCACTCTTGCAACAACATCTTACGATCATCCTTTAATGCCAAACAATACGACCACTCTTAGAAAATAAAAAATGGAAATCCATAATCCTTACAAGTCTTCTATCATTCAAAGGTAAATTTTATCAAGAGATCTTTTTCAATAATCTCACAAGACAAAATTAGGTTGCTATTTTAAGAATCAGAACCAATCGCGAAAGATTCATATCTTCTATAAAAGAGAAATAATGCTTCGATATTTAAACGGGATTTAAACGGCACAATATTATTACAAATTTTCTTCGGTTAAAATATGCTTTAATATTAATTGCACCTTTGTTAAATATTTCATTTCCAATTCCTCATGTTTTTTTACGGTTTTCTTTTTTAAGTTATTCAATGTTGATATTCATCGCCTACGATATTATGTGTACTACGTTATTCATAAAGAACAGAATAAATTATTATTTAAATTAGTTTGTGTATGGTATCTTACACAACTATGCAAAATATAATGTTACTGAAATATATGATTTTCTAACGAATTTGATGGTCGTCTCTTATATGGTATTTTCAGGTATAGAGGTATGAAATAAATATTTTATACTTATATAATTCCATATCCTCTCCGCCGACATAAAGCAAAAATTAATAGAATTTCCCACTGGCTCATACCAATAACGTAAAACGCCATTACCTTAATATTTCCAGCAACGAGTACATTCCAATTTCGTGTGATTTTATTTAGTTTGAATTTAACTTCGATTCGACTAATTTCAAAAGATTTTACGTTATCGCAAGCGATTTGCAATCATGCATTGATTTTCAAACGTGAGTCCTTGATTTGTGTTAATCAATAATCCCTCGCAATCGATGATTCGATACTGCCGTAAACAAAAAAAGACAAAAAAAAAAGAAAGAGAAACCTTTTTTGAAAAATGTTATCTCAGCTATATATTTATAATAAATTTTTAAAAACTTAGTATCGAATCATCGATTTGATACTACCATAGACAACAAAAGAAAAAGAAAGAAAGAGAAACATTTTCTAAAAAATGTTATCTCAGCTATGTACTTATAATAAATTAAAAAAAACATGATCGAAATGGCAACGGGATCGGCCGATTAATGAATTAACCAAGAGAGAAGAGGAGATAAATCTTTCCGTAAAAATATTTACTCGGCTATGTATAATATATGTATAATACTTACGATAAATATAAAAATACGATCGATGTTCGAAGAATAGATGAAAATGGCCAGTGAATGGACCGATGAAGAGCGCGTGAATCTCAGCAGTCGAGCGCAACCCTTCTTTCCGATCAGGCCGTTGAAGTCACCGATACTTCCGATACCTGATACAGCGCATCGTGTCCTCGTGGCCGGTGCTGGAAGGGATGACGGCCGTTGGTGGGGGGCGGCCACCCTCGCGTTTACTGCGGTCGGTTTAGACTCGCTACCGTGTCGCGGCGCCACCGTACGGCCTGCGCGGCCGACGTCCCTTGGCTCTGCGCCGAACAACTTTTGTCCGCGGTTCGCGTTCCTTGAGCCGCGCGAGGCGCCTCGTTTCGCGCGTCGCGACGCGCCGCGTCACCGTGTAACGGGTCCGATCGGATCTCGCCGATTCACGGAATCCGTTTCCCCGTCGAACGTCGTGTTTCGCGTACAGGACAGCGTAGCCGGAACAACGACCGTCGACAATACTTTCGCCGGGGTGGAAAAGTGCGTGGCTGGAGGGATGACTGCGAGGGCTGCAGGAGCCGAGCGTTCGAGTTAGTCTCGGCCAGAACACAGGCCCAGTAGGATCTACGTACACGTACTGAAACCGCGTACGGTGCGTGGACTGAGGAAACCGAGGGTACGGAGAGCATCCCCACCCCCTTCCTCCTTACTGGCCGCGAATCGGGAGTTTTGCGACGAAAAGAGTGGATTGTCGACCTCGAGAGACCGGTGTGTACCAGGTGATTTGTTCGTTGTGATTATTGTGATGTGTGTTAGTGTTCCCCTCGGTAAATCCTGAAGGAAAGCAGCCGCGACGATATCGGCCCGCCGCGACGGGTTTTTCGAATTTTTCCACGCGGACAGAGGTCCCCTTATCGCGATACCGTTCCACCGGCATCTTCTGCGAGTTCACGAGCACGCACGTGCAACCGTGCCCTCGGATTATCTGAAAGCCGAAACGCGACCGGCTGGAACGTGACCATCGGACGGATTCTTGATCGTCGACTGCCGCCTCTATCGCGACCGGTCAACCAACTCGCTCCGCCGAGAGAAAAAGGAATGCGGAGAACCCGAGAACCGAGTGATAGCGCCTAGCTGACTGCTAGAATCTAGACCGTCGTTCTGCGACCATCGGATTAGCACCCGAGAAATTTTCGAAAGCGAAAATACCGGACTCGTGAATCCTCCGAGAATCGTTCCTTCCACGGGACGGCCGCCCAGAATCGTTCGAGACGATCTTCGAAAAGGACGTTCCCACAGTTTTTGCAACAACTTCTCGTTCAAAGGAAAATCTGTTTTTCTATCTTCGATGATTCTGCTTCTCTTGGACACTTGTTGACGAAAAGGAAACTGGTTCCATTTTTCTTCAAATTCTCGATTCTTCCGTCGTGCTTGCGAAGAAGTGCGATTCCAAGTGTCGGAAAATGCCGAGCTCTGTTTAACGAAAGTGTTATGAGAATTCATCCTAGATCGGTCAAAAATGTGACACCTCGACGTTTGCAAACAGTTACCATCGGATTTTATTCCGGGAAATGAATCTCTCCATCGTTTGGAAACTTTTTTCATCGTATTCTCGATCGACGTTGGAAACGTTCCTTCGTGGGCCAGATTGCTTCTGAGAGAAACGTGAAAAAACCTTTCGTCGAGAAAGTGGTTCGAGAACCGTGTAACTGCCCCCCACGAGGACACAGGGGAGGACCAGTCAGGATCCCGGCGATTGTTTCTTGGTGTTCCATCGAGTTTGGAATTAGGTTCCCGGACCCAACGGCGGTCTCCGGAGGGCCGTGTCGCGTGCAGCAACCCCGCGTGTCTCGTAATTATCTTATCCAGCGAGAAAAAGAATCCGACCTCGCGCCACGTCCCTGAGCCCGGCTCTTGAACTTAACAGTGTTGCGCATCCTTCGCTCGCCGGAAGATATTGTTACAATCGCCCTCGAACGGGCGTCGCGTTGCTTCGCGAACGGGGGTCGCGACGCCGGGGGGAGCGCGGAGGGCGCCGTTTATCGTCGACCGGTATATTGAGTAGCGTGCGACCGCTCGAAGAAAGCGAATCCCGCTGCTACGACCAGCGAAATTCCACGACGACGCTTGGCCCTTCTCCCCCGTTATCGACGGGCCCTCGATTTTTCATCGTTGCCCCTCGTTCCAGCCACCTGGAACTCGAGATCGGCCTGAAATTTTCGTCAAGACGCCCAGCACCGATTCTTTCTTGGATTCTTTCGCACCGACGGCTGCTGAAACGTGGTCTCGCGAGTGAATTTTGCACGCGACGCGGTGGTTCGGGGCTTGTCGTCGTCGCTGGAAACGGGAACGTGTGATTCTGTGTCGAACGTCGGAATGGCTTGCCACGGTGCTCGATTCTCTCCGACTATGTCGTCCAATTCTTGCCTCGATACGACGAATTTTCCCGCGCTTTGCTAAATTGGCCCACCAGTGACTAAACGTGGAGATTAACAGTGTGATCAGTTCTTCGATTTTTAATCAAGAGTTTCTCGTACCGTAATCGCGGGCTCGATCGAGAAGGCTCGAGGAAGGTAAAATACGTTTCCAAAATTGAATAATCGACGAGGTTAGGGCTCCTTGTGTCGCTCCGCGTCAGATTTTTGTAAAATTTTCTCGACGTCCTTCCCCACGATTTCCATTAAAGTCTCCGCCGGGAGTAAACGTTTTCTCCGTGTTACAAGTTCGTTCTACGATTCAATTTTACGGTTACTTTCTTCGAATAATAATTATCTATAGTGCTTCACTTTTTCGAGTAAAAAAAATTCATAAGTGCTCACGGACATTTCGAACAATATATATTTTGATTCGATCTCTTCATTTTCGGGGAAATTCTCGTTGTTCGCGATAGAACGAAAGATGTCCTATTTTGAAAAATTAGAAGTGAATGTGCCATAAACTTTCGATAAACGTAAGATTAGGCTCTAGATAGATTGACTAAGCGCAATACGAGTGTGTACACAATATCTGACATTAACCGACGACAAGCGAGATATAAAGGCACTTATTCGTTTATTCCGATGATTGATTGAAACTCAATTTTGTACTTGACGCACAAAAGTTCAATTTCATAGCAAAAGAAGCATATACGACATTGTGAACATCCGAGTACAATACTTTGTAGATGCTTTCGACACATCCAAAGGAAAACAACAATTATCAAGCTTTATTAGTATATTCGTGAATGTGAGTGCCTATGAATTGGAATTTTCTAGACGTTTTTAATCCGTTAAATTTCGCGACTTTTCGATTTCGAGTTGATTTCGCGGTCGAGATTCGCGATTAGCGGGAAATCTCGTAATTCCAAGACGATCATTACGAAATTCCGGGCAACTATGCGTGAGCAGCGAGTTGGGCGCCGAAGACGACGCGATGACGATGCACGCGCGTGCACGCGCACGCCGGCCCGCGTTGACAAACTAATCCCCGCGTTATATCGGGTGATCGTAAAGCACGCGCTGACAAGCCGACAACCGCGTAGTATTTTCGTGGGCGGCCACGACGAATTCTCGCGACGCGATTCGCGAACGACTCCGTCTCGTCGAACACGCGACACCGTTCGCTGGCCTCGTGAAATTTCGCTGCCCCCGGGGAAAATCGACCACTCGATTCGGCCATTTTCTACCAAACTATTTCCACCAACTTCGATCGTCGATCCTATTTTCACCGATGGTTAACTCTCGAATGGCGCAACGCCTCGGGGACCGAACGCCCGGGCTCCATTTTAAACCGAATCTGAATTTCATTATTTCGCATTTCCATGCAAGATTCCCGATTGAATTTCCACGTTATTCTATTTGTAAATTCTTTGTTAATGTCGTTAATTTTTCAAAACCCAAGTCGAAGTCACTGAGCTTGGAATAAGCAAAATCTGAGATTTCTTCACGCCTATTTTTAACTCGAATTCAAACACTGTCAAAGGCTTCATCGAAAATCAGCCACGTTTTGTTAAACATTTGCTTGTGCTGTCGTCATTTTCATATTTGATCTTGTCTATGAATAAAGTTCTCTTTTTCGTTTGCAAATTATTATTGTTAAATGACAGTTCCGACAATTCTAAGTTTGGACCATCGTTCGTTGATCTGTTGTGAAAATTAAATTTTTAGGAGAACAATCTAAATTCACGTGAAATCCCTGGTTATTTTCTATGAAACAATTTTTCTCTAAATTATTTTTGGAAATATATTTCTACTGTAATAATTGGTGTAAATATTAAATTAATTAGTACTTTTTTTTTAGTAAAGAATGAATAATCTGAACGCTGTCCCGTCATTTACGTTCTATAATTGATGTTTGTCCAAAATAGAATTAATTTTCGATAACAGAAAAATCCGTGATTTTGCACCGTTGAGCAATTTCTACCGCAGCCACGATCGATGAATGCAAAATTTTTATGTAACTTTTCGAAAAGCAGGAAGAAATTTTGGATCTAAAGGTGGTTGGTGAATATCGATCGGGTTCTAGGACGGGAAATCGATCCAACCGAAAGCCACAGCAACAAGTACGCGGCGTTGGTGGCGTGAATCGAGTTACAGTTGTTTTCGTTTCCGCGTCAACAGCGACTATCATCCACCGGCGATGATTAACCCGTGTAACCGGCGAACACCGCGGAAATTAAAGTTGCATTATCCAGGACCCGGCGCCGGTTAACTCGACTGTCACGAAGTGTGCTTAACACGCTAACGCGGATTAACGCGTTCCCCGGAAGCTGCACGCCTTTCACGGTTTCGCGGGAATCGAGGGACGTCGTTTCGATGACGCACTGACCCCCTCGGAGTTCAACTTTCGGAGAACGTTCGCTGGAACTTTGACTTTCTTCCAGACGGAGTCGCGAGCCGGTATTCCTGCCAGACTTCAATGGCGGTTCGTCTTCTTAAAACTTCGACGGTGCTTTGGAATTTGAATACGTAATACGACGGTCTCCACTTTCAGGCAATTTCAACTAAAAATCGAAATCGTAACAGTTCGGGGGTTGTCGCAGGGAAATGGAAAACTCTTCAAATTCCGAAACTTCCACGCATTTTTTTCAACGACGATGTTATTAAATATTAGCCACGTATCGTAGATTCCTCTGTGTGTTTTTACAATTTTCAAATTGTTGAAATCTTTCGACCAACGACCCAGTGAACGAATGCTTTAATTGTGTTGTCAACGAATTCGAAACCTAATTGCTCTTCGATAGTGGGTGCTTCGAAACTCTACTATAGTCCTCCTTACAATTTTCTGTCGTTCTTCTGTGTTTATAAAGAATTCTTCTACGCGCTATTCTAAAAAATAAATATAAAATAAATAAATCGAAATAAATCGAAACGTTCGTTCGTGAAAAAGCGTTTACCAGAAATTTGATAGTTCGTATTGAAGAAGTAATTTAATCAACGCATTCGCTGAGCTGACTTCGCGAAAGACAGGCTACCGTTCGTGCGTCTGCATTGTCATCCAATTTCTCTACTCGTGGCTCGCAACTAAAATAAATAATGCAAATTCTTTTCTCGCGTTCCTTTGTCCGCCCAAGTGTATATTTCTATGTCCAATCAAAGCTGCTTTTAATTCCGGAAACGCGAGGGGAACCCTAAGCGATCGACCCTTTCGCCACAACGTGATTCCATCGAAAATCGAATATTCGCGCGTTGAAATCTCACGAACTCGCTCAGGACGAAGATCTGCGTTTGACAATCGATTCCGTCAGAGAGTTATTTATTAGATTTAAAAGTGTGAAAAATTGATAAAATACTGTGCACGGCTCACATAATAAAATTATATTAATCTTAACGCTTTGTCTATATTTGTATCAATTGGATGGGAAATAATCATTGCGTATTTACATACTAATTGATGTTCGAGTTAAACAATAACTGAGTGAACTTATAGAGCTACGTCTCGGTAAAAAAACATCGTATCCAGATCTTGTAAAATTTCCTAAGCGAGCTTGCCAGAGATAGTGTTTACCGAATCGCCAATTAACAATGACTGATAGGAACACCTCACCAGTAGTTGACCACCAATCGGTTGATCGTCATTTTCATAAAATTGTTACCTAATAGGTTTAAATGATCGAAAGTTCTTTTTAACGTAAAGTGTCACTTTTATGATACTTGTCGGCCGAATCGTTGTATCGTAGTGGTAGCTAAATAGTCTTGTAATTTGTCTTCTACTATACCAAAGAAATGAGAAGAAGTCGATAAGATATAGGAAATGTTATAATAAGTACTTGAAGTGTGACGATGATGTCAGGCGTGCAAAATACCGATGAGTAATAGTAGTTCATGACCTTTGCTATAGTATTAGTAGAAGTGTCTTCAGCCAGTCGAATGAAAATTTCATGAAGAGAACACACAGATCTTTTGTGTGTTCAGTTCATATTTATTTATTTACGGGATAAGTCCTTTGATATACAGAGTAACAGATGTTAAAGAACGAACCAAAAAGACAGAATCGAATGTAGACAGTAAGATATATGAAAACTGAAAGAATAGGTAATTAAACAATTAAAACCAAAGAAAAGGAAAAAGATTAATACCATCGATACAAAAAGAGAATAGAGTTAAAATGACATCGAAGAAATCGACGGCTCTACAAAGTGTGTATTCGTAACGGTGCGATCTAAGCAATTAACTATATTACCGAATAGGCGAGTGCTATGGTGTCAGTAATAACCGTTTATTTTTGTATGCTATTATAAACCGAGTTAAGAATAGAAACTAATTTGGTTCAGCTATTGGGGAGGTGACCATACGCGAGAAAAGTATCCGCGACGTCGATACAGGTTGGAAGGAACAGGGGGTGTTGGAGTGGTAGCATTCGGTGGCAAAAGGGTCGAAAAAGATGGAAAGCGTAGCGGGTCGGGAGGCTGCGCGTCCCGAAATCCCCGGTGCCCGCGCGTCAGTAACCATTTCGAAACTCAATCTCACCTCGTTATCCTTAGGAACGTCTGAAAATCGTAACGGCGCTCGGAACAAAGGCCGCTCAGTCACCAAAGAGCAATCGAAGGGTTACTGTCTGAGCGGGTCGAGGGGTGGGGCGGGGTAGAAGGGGTGGGTGGGGGGCGAAAATAAGAAACATAGATACAATGAGGAGGGAGACGCCTGGCGAAAAAGAGGAACGAAAGAAGAAGGGAACCGACGATCGGCAGGGTTGGAGAAAAGGGCGGTCGGGGAGCTGAAAATATGAGATCCGCTCTGGTAGGGACCACCTAGCCAGCCTCCGATCCTTTCCGTGGCGTCTCCCTCCAGTGCGCAGCTTAACCCCACCGTCGCGACGCTCTCCTCAGAATCCGTCGGCCGTTGCCGGTGGTGGGGGAGCCGGTTGACGCGAGATTGGCCGAGCGGTGGGCTGGCCTTCCCCTTCCGCGTTGCCCGGACTCCGCCCAATCCCCTCTAACGGCCGTGCACCTCCTCCAGACATAGCATCGGTCGTTCAGTAGCTCTTAGTTTCAGGTTAGGAGCCTGCTAGGACGGGTCTCGTACACTCTTCCTGAGATCAGCCGATGCGAGGCGAGACGAAAACGAGACGAGGGAAAAACCGGAGCCAGTGAAGTGTGTAATCGCGTGCAGTGCGCGTTTCTCGGTTTTTTCCGCGCGAGTGTGGGTGTGATGCCGTCGCGAGAATCACGGTTAGCCTGACGACCGGCCAGAATCGAGATTCAATCACCTGGTGTCACGAGGCCAGGTTTGTTCCTCGATGACTCTGGTGAACTCGGAGAGGACATTGTGCGATTTCGTGTGACCGTGGGACCAGTGTGTGGTGCAACAGGTCCAGTGTGTTCCGGGACAGTGTCCGGGACTAAGGAACAGGAAGAGACGGTAGCGACGGGCCCGCCGGCCGAGGCGTGCGCCCCAGGAGGCGTCGGCGGCGCCGGCAATCGAAGGGGAACGGTTTTGGGCCCGGCGGTGAAGCTCGAAGCCGTCAAAGTGGCTTCGTCACTGGGCCTCCAGGGGCCATCAGCGCCGATCGGGGCCCAACTACTCACTGGTGGTTCGGAGGATGCACCGGCCGTCTATCACGCGAATCTGCTAGCCAGCAGCAACGCGTCCGTGCTCCAGCAGCCCGTTCTAGCGAGCCTGAACACGCCGGCACTGGCCAGCATGCAGGCCTCTGCGGAGGCCAACTCGCTGGACATTCAGGCCATGCAATCCATGGACTGGCTGTTCAAGAAGGAGCGTATATACCTGCTCGCCCAGTTCTGGCAACAGGTAAGTGATCGACTACCAGGTCGACTTGTGAACAGTGAGCCTCGAGATTCGCTACCCCTGCACCCTCGACTCCGCCGTCACCTGATCGTGCATCGCGCGAGATACGCCGATTCTCGCATTGGAGTACCCAGTTAACGCGGACACTTGTAGCTTCCGGGCCTAGTGGATGTGCGGGGTTAGATAGATGTGACTGTGACTCGAGGCCAATGTGTCCGTGATCGGGATTTCGACGCGTCGATCAGCTGTCGGGACGCGTTTATCGCGGGGTGAAGTGCAGCTCGCTGCCACATTTCCATCGGCATTCCCGGAAATTGACAGTTCGGATACGATGATAGTGGCAGGAATCAGTTCCGCGTAATGTGCGTAATTGCAATCTAACGACCTCGACTCGATGACGAGTGTCGCGATCTCCGAACGGATCGAAACGCATTTTGTGAGTCTTTCGGTCGGTAATTGCTGGTCAGGTTACCGGCCACTTGGCCGACCCCGAGTTTCAACGAGGGTGCGAGGGTGGCGAAGTTTCCCCGACACTTGCTGTTCCGAGGATAGTTCAGCGATTTAGGGGATAGCTCGACCGACTTGCGGCAAAGTGGCCCACATACAGTGGTTGACAACCCTTTTCAATGGTGGTTGACAACAATTTTATTCGTGCGATACGATTCGATATTTAAAGAAAACGCCCAGCACGCGACGTTTAAGGGATGAGAATGTGTATTTACGTCTAGATGATAGAGTTTCTGAAAGTTTCGTGATCGATTGTGGAACGTCTTTAGTGAGCACAGATTACGCGAACATTTTACGTTCTAGTGAATTGTTTTCGAGTTTTTTGTGCAATCTGTTTATCAGGATATTTATTACAAGTGTTCTTCGATTCATTCCCATAGTTTCCGTTGGCAGTCACGGATATCAATTAGGATTTTAACAGATGCTTCGCGCAAAAGTTTGTTTCTAAACACCGTCTACCGTGTCGTTTAGAAACGTTCCTCTTAGAGATCAGGCAATTCAGGAAATTTGTGGAAAATACTAATTAGAATTGGCAGAAATGCGAGTGAACGATCCGACAACAAGTTCATATCTCTTACCTTCGCGTACTACGAATAACATGCGAGCGGCGCGTTTACAGAATTCTCTGAATTTTGCTTATCTTTGACGAAGTAAAGTTGTCAACTGTTCGGTGGCAAACGTTTACGCACGATCGACGAAAGCATAATTTCAAAGGTTCTACAACGTTAAGCGTATTGTTGGAATAACTTTTCATCGACGGAAGATTTCTTTTAAAATTGTTTCTCGACGATGTGATCTAAAATTGACAGATCCGTGTGAAACGTAGGAGATTCTATCTAAAAGAAAACAAAACGGTGCATCGACGAAATATTTCTAAATAACAAAGTGTCTTTTGCATTACACCCCGGCGCGTTACGATTTACAGAAATTTATCTCACCTAACGATACTATTTAATTGTTGCTCAACCTTCGTACATAGAACCGTAAATCCACGTCTGTCGTTGCACTTGTATCAAATATCCTACATATTTTCTTAGCCCTCTGAAACACGGACTGAATTTTGTCTTTCGAAACAAAAATTGTTTCATGATTATTTAGATGTCCAAGCTATTAAATGTCTCCGTAAGAAAACATAAAATTTCTTCTGAAAAACGTTACACATGCATTGTTTTCGTTAGGTATCCTGTCGTATTACGCGGTAAAGGATTAAAAGTAATGTAAAATACCAAAGTATTCCAAAATCATAATGTCGTGATACATTCTTATGGAAAAATATTCTGTTCGAAGAATCGATATAAATCGCAAGGAATAGAGCATTTCTGCCCATGACACAACTTATCGAACAACGAATATCATCGTGTATAACATATTATGGACAAACATTTTTATCGAAGAATTAGTATAAATTGCAAGGAATCGTGTCAAAGAACATTTTTACTCGTGACACGAATTATCGGATTGTTCCAATTCTTTGATTAATTATCGTATATAACATATAGAGAAACAAATTCATCGAAGAATTAATTAGAAGGAATGGTTTCGAAGAGCATTTTACCTAATCTAATTTTTTGGTAGCTTGACACGTACCTATAACACCTTATAGGAAAGTATTTTCTTGGAAGAATTACGAATAGTTTCAATGACAGGGCTTGTCGAATTTTTCGGTTAACTATATTCACGAATCCGCATAGTTGAACGTAATCTGTACACGCGCGAGGATCTTGGGGCACCAGGCGTGTGTTTTTCGATAAAATACGGTTGCTTAATAACGCGCGAACTGGTCTCGTACCGGTACGAGATTATGACCTGACCGGGGTCGGGACTATTAATACCACATAGTTTCATAATTATGTCTATTGATTAGGCCGAGGGTTAATGACGCCGGAACGTGGCTCGAACCTCCCGGAAAGCGGGAAGGTTCGTCGGAACAAATTTCCGGGGGAGGGAATTTTGAACGTTGTTTTCGGAAGTTGCTCGCGTTTATTCCCCCTATCCCGTCCTAGGTGAAAATTTCATCGTCGAATTTATGAAACGCGGAGACAATTATTGACAAAACCTGTCGTCGCGTCCCCTTTCCCGACTTAATTCACTCGGACGTAATCGCAACAGACGTGGTGCGGAAAGGTCGTAGTGAGAGGATCGATGAAGCGGTATAACCTGCTGACACGTTTCGAAGGAAAGTGAAAACGCCGAAAGCCAAAGCTACTTCGCGTACCGTCGTGTGCGATTAAACGGTCAGGCGATGCCTCGATTTTCCGCCTTGGATTCTTCTCGCGAGGATCGAGAACCGCGATCGAGAAATTCCCACGTGCGTCGATGGTGGTCGGACACAATTTTTGCTCCCTCCGACGACGGACAGTTTCGTGACAAAGTCGAGTACGTTTCTGGTAAATTGTCAATGATCGGTGAATCGTCAACGGTCGGCCAGAATGAATACTTTTCGTAAAACAAGCATAGCAACTCGCCTTTGACGTCGAATGTCAATGTTGAGGATTTTTCTTTGATCGAAGAGCTCGTGTGAGAAGAATGTGTCAAATGTTAAACCTTTGCAGTGTAGTGAGTGTTCGAATTATTTGTCAAATTCTTGTGTTGCACAGAGTCGATCACGATGTATAATCGAATGCCTAGGAGTTGAGTTGGGACAAACTGTCAATTTGAAGAATAGCAGGATAGGTGAAATTGTTAATTTTTCAAGCAAAGTAGTTCGTTCTTTTAGGCAGCAGGGGTATTGTTTGCAATCTTGTCATTGTAATTTATAACGGAATGCGGAATATTCACCCCTCCCATTTGACAGATGTTTAAGCACAAAGGGTTGACAAATTGCTATTATTATACGGCTACCGAGGGCAAGGATGATTTTTATCTAAATTTTCTGATTCTTGTAGATTTTTGTTTAGTTTATATATTTTATATTATAAGCCCATAAACGAAATATATTATTAATATTTGACAATACTTTTCTACGTAAAAAACCATTTTCAACAAATATGCGAATCAGCGAAAATACGAAGAATATTTGCAAGTCGATTTGAAAGATATAGTTTATGAAACAAATACGTATGGAGAAAATTCTGTAGTACCTACTTATTACAAAATGTACGAAATTAGAAAAATCGTGTGAATGTTTGTTTCCATCTTATGGATAAAAATATACATCCTTGGTATTAATTCTTAGCCCGCGAAGTCGAGAATATTTATTATTCCACCGTTTATTCGTTACTAGTATAATAGCAATTAGAATTTGAATCGCGAAAGGAAATGTTTCACAACGAAGGAATAACAAATGAACCACCGTTCGATCGAATGAACCGCTATACGGTCGCTGTATTTATTATCTATTCGTAATTATGGGTAGAAAATGGTAATATCGAGGCTGCGCGAAGTAGATCCACGTTTCCGGTCGTATGGGTTCTCGGGTTCGTTGATAGCGGCTGAAAGTTCATCGATAGGCTTCCCCGAATCCGTCGATCGCGCGTCGATTTTACCAAAGTAAATATAGCAAGAGGCAGAGTGGAAACAGGTGCACGGTGGGGTCGATCGACAGCGATCCCGGAATCGACGCGTTCGTTAAGAAATTCCTCGTCGAGCGTCCGTCGATCGGGCGAAAATATACCTGTCCGCCGAGATTGATTTACTTTGAAGCGAGGAGTCGAGGTTACGTTGGACGTTTCTCGATTTCCAACGAAAACCACGGCTTGGAATGCGATTCGACGGGGAGGAACCTTGGGGGGAAATCACTCGAACGGGCCAATAATTAGCTCCGGGGAGACGTTCGAACGAGAGAAAATTCGGAGAGGAGAGACAGTCGCGTCCGGTCGCCTTTCCACGGAGCAGCCGTGCGCGTGGAACGAGACCACGAAGCGTACTCCCAATTAGGAGCGTGTCGACCGTGAATGGACAAAAGTTTTGCCATGACTCGCGTCACTTCCCCTCCCGCTCTCGACACCGTGCTCCCTGGCCCCCTCCAGGAGTCGCGATTCGACAGGCGGTAGGGGAATCCCTGAAGCGGTTCCCGAGATTCCCGAGTGGCGGCGACACTTGCCGAGACGCGTTCAACAACGCGGAGACGTGAATCACGCGCGCTCTGACACCGCCGTGAAGAGGAGCCGCGTGGACGTTGGGCCTAGCGATGAGATTTCAACCGCTTCGAATCGATTCGAATTTACATACACTACGCGAAAACAGTTTTCATACGTTAGTACGTTCTCTACTTTGAGCACCGATAATGTTTTTTACAGAGCATTAATTTAACATCGAGTTATAGTAAAATGTAAGAAATTAACACGGTTTTTAAATGATGATTTTATTAAAATTTAATCATCTTATTACAAATTATATAACGAAATCCTCAACGAGTGCAGGGAAAGTATTCGTACGATACTTTCTTGAATTACTAACCAAAATAACAAATTAACGAACGAATCAGTACTTTGCCGGATGTCCTTTATTGCTTCTTCTTGCAACATATTTTTTATCACGACGTTTCAGTTCTTCTC